GATCTCTGTTGTGACTTGTCGCGAGTGGTATTATTGGATTGAGCAGAAACCCTGGAGGAGAGTTATCTCTCAAAAGAACCCGCGTCAGCCTTGTTATCGTCTTCTTTCGCCAAGCTCACTGAACTCTTCGGTGTTAAGTGCAACTTAGCAGTAGCGTCAATCAGCAGTGGAAGCCATTTACCATCATTGAATATTGTTCTTCCTTGCACATTATATCTGTTGCCACTTCTACTATATAGTTCGAACGTGTGGAGAGTCTTTTTGAAAAATAAATATAACGTATATATGGGTGTCAACCTCAACATGTCATTGAAATTATAAGTGATAAATTAATATCCTCTGGTGAGATTGGAATATTAGAATGCAGTGTGCAATTGTTACAGCTCAGGCCTGACATTTTGACCGTGACCAAATTGTAGAAAACTAATAACTGGATGCATCTCCATTTGCAAATTACATGTACATTTATTTTCTTTTTGAGCTTTCAATTAGTTTAATAAGGGACAACACACACACTTCCAATTGCATATGCGCATGCCTTAAATCTTGGTCATAAGTGTGCACAGACAACTGCATTTGTCATTACAATATTTTGAGTGCAACTATCCCGACTACCCACCCTCACTGCCACGACCACCCTTGGGCTATTCTATGAATTGTCGCAAGTCATTTCACGGAATGAATTGTTGTTGTTTTGACATTGCAGTGAATAGTATGGCCTCTAGTGGCTGCGGGTGTAAAGTGAACACTGCATGCAAACATATATTCTTGATTGTATGTATGCATGTTGAACTTACCTCGTACCATACGTAGTCAATCATGCTCATCGGAGGCGCGGGACTCTTCTCGGTGTCTATGCAGCAACTTTTGGCTTCCAGCGGTTTTATCCCAAAGAAGCGCCGTAGCATATGGGGATGTATTTCGTCTCGGGAAGCATTCACAAAGGACAGAGCGGCAAATTGGAAAACGACAAGCAGAGTAAATATTCAAATGTGGCTGTGAGATCAGTACCCGGCGGGATTCCTCTTGTGTACACACATTATTGGAGACATCTCTGATGTCTGCTTTAATTAGTGAAAGGTAAATACTGTAATCTTCTCACAGAACATTGCTAACCGGGCGAATTGCATTTTCATCGCGGGAGACTGTTTACAAAGTATAATGCTATGCCATTGGCTGCACAGTTATGCCTGCCAATTGTCGCGGTCGTGGTTGGGAGTGGAATTGTTAGATTCCTCCACAAATAGAGCGATGTTCACAGCCCCTGAGCAAGCGGCGGGGTCTTCTGCATTGTCAAGGGAAGGGTCAGAGCGGTGTTCTTCACGGCAAGGCCCTCGGGGTCACTGGCGGTCCCTGGTGGCCTTTAGTGCGGCTCCTGACGTGGGGACCCCCCGACAATAGACGACACCCCTGGCAGGCGGATGTGGCCACCCTCGCACACTGACGATGTCTTATCGGCGAAAGTGGCCTCCCGTCTGAAAATGTGCGAAGAACGCTGGGTTAGATAATTATGATCGATACAGGGCATCCACTTTTAACCTCCACGAAGCGGTTTCCATTTCATCCGCCTGAGTGGGATGATGGGCTTAGTCAAATACCGACCGGAATATAGACTCGCAGTGTTCCAACCGTGGGTTGAGCGCTGCAGCTCCAAACGAATTGATATGTTCAATGAACACGACTAGAAATTGGATTAACTACATTCTCAGGTTGCTGGGTCCAGGCCTCACTGTCACTGCCATCCCTCTATACACAAAGTAAATTCAAAAGTAAACATCGCATTAATGGTTTGCGTCGTTTGCAAATTGAGCGTGAAATTGCTGCGTGGCCATTCGTTTCACGAGCAGGTATAACAACACACGAACTGGTGAATAAACAATGACGAGATCGGTCATCGTGGAATCCAACAATGGGCGGGTGATGAATTCGCGCAAAAGGTAACTTCAGCCGTTGAGGCAAGGTGACAACGCCAGTCAAAGTTTGTTCTCCCCGTTGCGATTGCACGTCGCTTCTGCCCGTTGTTGTTGTTGTTGTTCAACACATCGGCGTTAACAAACAAAAAAACACGACGCAGTGCAACCTGAAAACGCGATCTGAGAGCCGGACGGCACCGCCGGGATAACTTCACGAAGCCGTGTGAGATGTGTGTGTGTGTGAAATGCAGGGGCGGTTTCTTCATTAGGGCGATTGGGCGACGCACCACCAATGTAATTGAACCACAGAGTCACGCTAGCCGTCACTGTGCCTCTGTATATAGTCAAATCAGCGTCATGTCACGTTTTTTGGGCGATTTCACTCCGGCTGAGAATCGCCCCGAGTGGCCCCATAGACTTACATTGAAAGATGTTTTTTTCGAACGGCGGGCGCTCCAATGCATTCTCTATGGCTTCTGGGAGGGCTCGCCCTAACGTGCTTACGTCATCATACGTGCTTACGTCATCATACGTAAGCACGTTTCATCCAACAATATAATTTATCGCCACCTAGTGGAATCTTTAATAAAATAAACTTGAGTGGTTTGTTTTAATAGTGAGTATAGAAACAAACAAGATGTATTGTAAGAGTCACTTTATTTTCATTAATATTAAAGAAGTGAAGTTGCCTTTACATGCTTAAGCTGTTAATTTATCCATTGCATGGGTGGACCTTATCCTTATCAATCATCCAGACATTTGCCCCCCCTGAGAGATTTTGCAGGAGCCGCCACTGGTGAAATGTGTGTGTGAAGTCCGTGGCTTGCCGTCCAAACCTTGGCCCTCGTCATCCGAAGGACACGCCAACCTCCGGGGTTCCTCCGTGACTTTTCTCTTGAGAGCAATCACATTGGGATGAGCGACGGAGATAGAGCAACGTCGAGTCAACATTCGGTTGGAACACGCCAATAAACGAGCATCATTATTAGTGTTACCTTTCGTCAGGAACGCTTCGGCAAGTGGGGCACAAGCACAACCACCGCTGCTTCTCAAGCTGGCCTCTCTCCTCCTCCTGGTCAATGCCCGTCTCTCGAAGCACACAGGGCAGAATGTCAGTTCTCTGTCACGGCTCCAGTCGTTTGGAATTCTCTCCCTCCCCTCACCTCCCCTCCCTCCCTGCCTCCCTCCATCCTGCCCCTCCCCTCTCCTCCCTCCCCTCCCTCCCTCCCCTCCCTATCTACGTGAGTTTACCGAAAGAACCAAGAATAGGAATTCCTGCAGTCACGAAAGTTTTATGTCACTTTCAAATTTGACAAAAGTTGGACCCCTGACGCCAGAAAACCGTGGCTGCCTCTTGCGAATGACATCGGGGGATCTTTCACGTCCACTGCGGAGCAGATGGTGCGTGGCAGTGTTATTATGCCTATTCCGCCCGCAGTATTAATCGGGGCGGCCACTGAATCCGAACCGCCAACCTTGGCAACAAGCGACGAACGCGTTGCTGCCGGGCCGCGTCACCGCCACGTTATTTATTCTATGTAGGTGTCGAAGCGATAGCGGGCTTTGATTTATTCAGTTCTGTTTATTTATAGCGGTGCGATTCACGCATCTTGCGCGTGCGTCAGGGTGTTTGGCCCATGTGTACAATCTTAGCTCGCGTGTCACACGACCGATCCTATAGCTTCCTAGCGCGCTTCAGCATTGTGAAGCTGGTCATTTTGGTTAAGATCGTTAGCTCTGATCAGATCGTGCTGTGACCAATCTCATGTCACCGAGTTAACAAGTGCCACTCTCAAGTTGCCGCCTCATTCCCAAACGCATTCTCCCTACGTCACTGCACTTCGCAGCACCGTCGTAGGATATTGTTACTGGTAGGAACCACCTGGTTCCACCAGCCCACAGGGGATTATTGTGTCCGCCTGTCCGTCGTGCATCCAAGAATGGGAGGGGTGGGGCTGGGTGGAGAGGGGAGGGTGGGGAGGGGCTGGGTTGGGAGGGTGGGGAGGGGCTGGGTGGGGAGGGGCAGGGTGGGGAGGGTGGGGCTGGGTGGGAGGTGGGGCTGGGTGGGGAGGGGCTGGTCACCCCGTGGTGCCCTTATAAAACTCAACGTTTAACCTACTCAGGAAGGCTTGTGTACGCCCTCACAGTCGGCCATATTTGCGGAATACACCACGCTGCCGTTGACCCTGGCCATTGACCGAGCAACCCAACGTTCCTACTAGCTCCCTCCGCAGGAATGTGCTTTCGCATCCATTGAGATGAAAGAGTGGCTCATTGAGCTTTCAGTTCCTCCGAACCACAACAAGCCTCGTTGTTTTCTTTGCGATTGCCTCCCCATGCAATGCAGTAAGCCTCTAACGGCACGGCAGTAGACACACGAAGGCATTTCCCATCAATCAATACGGTTGATTTTAGACCCAGGTCATCACCTCTCCCGGACCGAAAGCAACGAACGCCACTTCGTGGGCAGTCACTAGTCGTCATCCTATAGACCGCACTCGGCCTCGTCAATGGGAATGTGGAATTTCCACCGCTGACTTTTGACTGCCATAGGAGATTGGCAAAGCCTCGTACTCACTCTGGCATGGAGTACCTTTGGCTGTTTTAAATTAATGAAGGTTAAATACGTATGAAAATAAAACAATCGTACACGTACATGTTTTACAGCTAGCGCGCATGTGATTTGCTTTACAGTTTTGATTCATCCCAAGTGTGGGAGGATTGCTGCCTGAGTGAACCTGAGGTCGCTCATCGCCGAGATATATGCACAGCCTGTGCACCAATCATCCTCGGGGGGGGGGGGGGTGCTGGAGGGGGATTAACCCCCCACACCCCCACCCCCCTTTCTAAATTCTTATAGCAAAGATAGAAAAATAGTCCGTACCACATTTAGCAGCAGTTGCGGTTTTTCTTCAAAGCGGAACCTGTTTGGAGTTGAACGTTTATTTTACGTTTGTTTAACATTGGCCGCGTCGTGGAAGCCGCAAACCCCATCCCCAACCTTCACCTTTAAACCACAGCCCCCCCGCCCCCACCGCTTCCGGGCTGTCGCTAACGCGCCGTTCTCACGCGTTGCCCCCCGTGCAGATATGAGCATGGAGGACGTGCGGGAGTACGAGAGGACCACCCAGGCGGCCACCAACCGGAAGATCGGCATCGTGCCCCCGGCCATCTCCATCTGCGACGCGAGCGCCGGCTCTTCCAGCAGCGGGCGGGGGGGCGGCCCCTCCAGCGCCCCCACCACTCCGCTCACGCTCGACGCTCCCGACTTCCTCGGCCTGCCTCGTGACCGTCCCCGGAAAAGCTCCGCTCCGGAAACCCTCACCTTGCCCCAGCTCCGCGAGAAAAACACCTAGCGGGTGGACGCGAGACGCCCGCTGGCTTTTTCCTCTCTCTCTCTCTCTCTTCTCCTGGTCCAGGCGAAGACCCCGGCGAGCTGCGGAGCCGTCGGGGGCTTTTTTGTTTTTGCTCTTCGTCATTTTTTTTTTTCCTTTTAAAATTCCCTTATCCCTTTCCCCCGCTAGATGCTATTTCTGCTTTGTGCTGCAATCGCTGTTGAGGCATGCTCCTCCGCAAGGAGGACGGGTAGCGCCCGGCCGGCCCCCGTGTCCCCTTTACGCATCCTCCCCTCTCTTGCCCCTCGCTCCCCCACTTTTGTAGCCGAGAGCGGGATGGTTGAACGTTGAAACGGTACGTTGCGAGGAGAGCTGTGCGGGCACCCGAGGGGGCGTCGTCTTGCTCGCCCGTGAGAGACCGAGGCTCAAGTGAGGTTTCAGGACTTTGTAGCAAAGCACGAAAGGTCACGTTTAAGATAGGCACTGAGGGAAACGGAATACCGGTAGTCTATCGACGGAAACGTTGGTTGGTGCATGCATGAGAAGAGCACGTAGTGTAGTTTGTTGAAAGCCTAGTTAAGGCTTTTGGACTAGATTCGTCATTTTACACTGGTTTGGTCTAGTCCTTTCTAATCGTGGCCAAGTAACCAAAACCATTTAAAATAATCCTCAAGTGGAGGCTGAGTATTGTCTTGATTGACAAAGAGAAACTAAAGCTTATGTGCATAATGCAAGCGTTCTAAGTGTTTTGTACATTGTTGAGTGGCATCCCAAGTGTCCATACTGAGTCATTGTTTCCTTCACGCTCAAAAGAAACCCCCTTGTGTTTTAAGAGCTCCTCGTCCACTTGTTTTCACGCTTTTTGTGCTCATTGGTAAACGGCACGGGCCCAATATCGGCCACTTGAACGCCACCGCGAGAGAGTTTATTATTTTTTGGAGGACCGCATCACAAAGGGACATTGCTGCTTAGGCATTGATAACAAATACCCCCCCGTGCGATGCCCTGTTGCTCACATATTGCGCAGCCGCCTGTGGACGCTACAATCGCTGTGTCTGGGGTTAGCGGCGAGGTGGCCCTGTTGAATTAACTGCAAGCCATTCAGGACAAAAAAAAAATATCCGTGTTAAATATTACAAAACACACGTGCGTGCGTGCTTCGCGTCGCATGCGGCGTGTTAATTTTTTTTTTGCGGAAACGACCAGCAGGGAAAATTGTACCCCACAGAAATGTTGCCCTGATTGATTCTGCGGCTCGGATGATGGACAAGGGAACGGGTGAAGCGAGGAGCGGTTTTTTTTTTTTGTCAAAGAATTGTAATTCATCGGCAGCCTCCCGTGGGCCGCTGACCTTTTCTGGAATATTGCGAGAGTGCTGGCCGATCGGCGTGCTCTAACTGCAAGCCACGGTACAGTGGGTGCCTGCAAAATCCACATGATTGGTGTCCAAAACAGCCATAAACTTCCCCCATTATTATTGCCCTCTCCTGCCATGGATCCACTCAAAATATCATTCTCATTTAATTTGGCTCCAGTTGCCAATGATGGGTCTCTCAAGGTGGATGATTAACCTTGAAATGAGTGCCCGTGACAGGCATGGTTTGGTAGCTCGCTCCGGGCTTATAGTGCTTTGGCGCAGCCTGCATTTACGCGTTCAACATATCTCTCACTTGTAAATTCGTTAACAAGCGTTGATTGCAAAATGTCCACCGATTGGCTGACTGTTGAAAGAGAAAAAAAAATAGGGACTCTGCTCTGGCCCTTGAGGGATGACACCAACGATCAATTTGTGACTCAGTTTAAAGACAAATTACAGTGAAGCGTGCCATCTGTAATGTGCTTGATTGTTTGCTTAGTGAAGCGAGTTTGAACATTTAGTAGACACGTGTTGATTTAAATACACAGTGCTCCACCTACAAAAGAGACCTTCTATAGCTGTGGGGGAAAGTGCTGGTTTGCGAGCACCTATTAAGGCCAAAATTGCCAACAGTCTGGCACTTGTGTCTCCAATGTATACACCGCGTAGGAAACAACGTACATTTTAGTGAATGGGGCCGAACAAAAATAGGACACACGCGGCTAAATGAAGGCAAAATGAACGAGGCAATATAAAACAATAGATTCTTTAATCGCATCACGGCCCATGAACATGGCAATTCGTCGATTGCCACGGGAGTAATTCATTTTGAAAGGAAGCAGCGTGCGATGGCGTCGCCACCGCCGTTGAGTGACACCAGTTGTAGAGTTTTCCCATTTCTTACTTCGCGACACTGACGGGGGCATATACAACATCTCCGTGTTGCTGGTCATATTTTGTGCCGATCACAATGTGGCAAAACTTTACGGCAAGGCCGTGGGTTGGGGGGTGGGGGCATTAATCATTGCTCTTGTGAAAATTCCGACTGGAAAAGACGAGCCCACGTTGTTGGATCGTTGGTTCCGTGGTGGCTTTGCACCCCGTGACAGGCTGGACTGGCTCAACCAGTAAGCGAGTCAGCCGTTCTCTCCCATTGCTCGTGCACGGTCAGTGGAGCAATCGTCCGTGTGTGTGTGTCTGTGTGTGTGTGTCTGTGCGTGTGTGTGTCTGTGCGTGTGTGTGTCTGTGCGTGTGTGTGTCTGTGCGTGTGTGTGTCTGTGCGTGTGTGTCTGTGCGTGCGTGTGTGTCTGTGCGTGTGTGTGTCTGTGCGTGTGTGTGTTTGTGCGTGTGTGTGTGTGTCTGTGCGTGTGTGTGTGTCTGTGCGTGTGTGTGTCTGTGCGTGTGTGTGTGTCTGTGCGTGTGTCTGTGCGTGCGTGTGTCTGTGCGAGCGTGTGTCTGTGCGTGTGTGTGTCTGTGCGTGTGTGTGTGTCTGTGCGTGTGTGTGTTTGTGCGTGCGTGTGTGTCTGTGCGTGTGTGTCTGTGCGTGCGTGTGTGTCTGTGCGTGTGTGTGTCTGTGCGTGCGTGTGTGTCTGTGCGTGTGTGTGTCTGTGCGTGTGTGTGTCTGTGCGTGCGTGTGTGTGTCTGTGCGTGTCTGTGCGTGTGCGTGTCTGTGCGTGTGTGTGTGTCTGTGCGTGTGCACGGATAGACGCGAGGGGCGGTCGAAAAGTTTTGGAAGACAGGACGGGAGGAAGTGTAATGATAAATAACTCAGGCGCATTATTATAATTGAACCTCGCGGTTCAACCTCGCGGTTCAATTATCCAATAGAGCAAAGGCTGGTGTGAATATTTCCCGTTGTGAACTCGTTTATTTCTTTTCAGTTGAATAAGGGTAAAATAAAACGTAAAAATAGGGTGTCAATACAAGATTAATGTTGGTTTGGCAAGACCTTTAGTTTCGTGTTGCAAAAAACACTTTTCGACCACCCGTGGGCATGTGTATACACGTGGACTGTATACACACACTCACTCTGACCTCAGCTCATTCGCTAACATTTACTGTGTGTATAGTGGTGCAGGATGTTATTCTATGTAAATGCACAGCGGAGTATAACGTGTTAAGGTGAAAAGCCTTGTTCTAGCCACTGCTAGATGGCATCCTGCCCGAACCATAATTATATCTCGCAATGTAACGGTCCATTTGTCTCCCACACACGGGGTACTTTCACGGCTCCATCTCTGCAGTGTTCAGGTGCCCTGTCTGGCGTTTCCTTTTGACTGCCTCTCCGTCATTCTAAATGTAAAAATATGACATTGCACAAAATGCAGCGATTGCATGAATAACGCACGACACGATAATAATAATAATACTGGCGTGGTGATCAATACAGGAGACATTGAGATTATACATCGTATCTCAATGAAAACGTGTGCAGATTCATTCTGTTAAACAGAGGTCGGAGTGTGTTTAGATCGCACAGTCTTGAGGATGCGATATCTCCATGGAAAATTCAAAACGCGGCTCAAGGGCCCATCGATCAGTCAGTACCGGATGCATTGAGCTAAATTAGCATGACCTCTCTGGGTTGGAAATGGGATTTGGCAATTCAACCAGAAAGTAGAGTGCAATGTCTTGTTCAAGTTGATGTCATTTTGGTTGAGCCCCAATTGGATTTCCCCTGGGATTTAAATGTCGCTGGTGGTGCCCCATATAGTACGACTGTTCCAACTCCCTTAAACAGTCTGGCACAACTAGCGTAACTTCGCGAAGGCCATGAATCTTGGCTTCCACTTTTGATTAGCAAAACAAGCAAGTGCCTGCGCTTTCCCCTGGTGCACCCTGTAAGGACGCGGCCAATAAAGCGAGTGGAATGATTGATGGTGCTCCACTCGCTTCCTTCCCCGTCCGATGCATTTGGCCCTCCGTACAGCACACACGCGGGCGGAGGCAAGTTGTGCAGCCACAAATTTTGCTAATTAAAGCTCAGCTTAATTACCGGCGTTGTGTGTGGATGGGTTTTTTTTAAATCTTATCTATTTTTTGGCACGTAGAGCCACACAGATTTTGCAGGCGTGAGGTGGCTGATGATCCGAGTAAGTTTGGGAATCCAATAATGTCTTCGCACCTGTTCTTCTCATAGGTTAGGGCAGGGTTATCTCTCAAACTTTTCCTGGCCCACTACAGTGCGTCTTTCCAATTCTACTACCAGTTTACCTTCATTAAAATTCACATTCATTATTCAATAACTGTTGTTCATGGTTTTGGCATCATGCACAATTATGGCTGGTTACTCTTTTTGTACACATTTCTGCGTATTATTTTAAACTTATTCTTCTGGTCAACACAGGTTTTCTGTTATGATGGTGGCTTTTCTCATAATTTACAGATTTGAACGTTCAGTGGTTCCAAACGGCACATACCTGATGATTTCCAAACACGTCCCACGTAGCGTTGATAAATTAAGACACCCTCTGTGTGTGTGTGCGTGGGTGTGTTTCCCGCTCACGGCCAAACACCAGTGACGATTACCTGCACCGGCCCTGGGCCTCCCCTAGGTCGACTCAGCCTCAAATGAGTACCTGGTGTGGTGTGTCAAACATCGCCACTGGGGAGACAAAGGCGGCCGGGCGTGGTGTTGGCCACCCACCCCCTCGTGTGCCGTGCCGGCCTTCATAGGTGCTCATTAACAGCACTTTCCCCAACAATCTGTGAAGGTTATAAGGGGGACTTTTGTCTTTGTGTTATGCGAGACATGTCGAGAGCTCATTCTGATCAACTTTGACATCTCAAGCGTGTATGTGTGCCATACGGAGTGGTGGCGCAGCGATTAGTGCTCGCCGCTACAAACCCGGTCGCCTTGAGTTCGATTCACGCGAAAATTCTCGTGACCAAATTCTAAACCGGTCCTGGGCCTCCCCATAGGTCGACTGAGCCTTAAATAAGTACCTGGTGCACTAAGCATCAGCTCTGGGGAGACAAATGCAGCCAGGTGTGGTCATGGCCACACCACCACCCCCTGCATGAGTCGTGCCGGCCTTGATAGGTGCTCGCTAAAAGCACTTGCCCCAACAGTCTGCAATGTCTATATGGGGGATATTTTTCTTTGTTTGTCTCCTAGCTGATATAGAGAGGTACATGCTCATGAATAAGCACCCTCGCTCTACGTGGGTCTGTTTAGCAATCATGTGGCATGTGCAGCGTGGAACGACCGAAATAGATCTTGAGAATGAGAGTTTGAGTTACTGCATTCGAGGGTGAAAGCACTGGCAGTTGAACTACAGTATATGAATCAGTACGACAGTAGTTTGGTATTTCTCCTATTTCATGTATACTGTATACTTAAACGCAATTTCTTTACTCCCTTACTGCTGTTATATAAAGCCAACTATTAGTTATTGATGAGTTTCATTTTGCAAGTTGAGTATTAACCAATCGATTCAACGAGATGGCTTTAAGTTGCCTTTATCTGCGAGGTATGTTTTCCCAATTACAGAGGTACCTTAGTCTATTTTAAATGTTCAATGTCACTTATCAACTGATGGGTTTACAGTGCAATGCATTGCTCTATGTGTGTGTGAGTGCAAGTGTTTATTTCCCTTGCTCTGTATTGACACATGGACTTGGATGATGATCGTTTTCACACTAGTCTATCGATAGTGACTTACGTATAAGCGGAGAGGCATCTCTTCGGGAGTTGCGCTGTTTGTTTTCGATTCACCGGGTTGGGAAGGGTTAAGCGGTTTTTAATCTTGCGAGCTACATTGCCGCAACGTATCGCTATCGATCTGATTTTTTGCGTTGGCATGGCAAGGTAGGGAGCAACAGCAACAACAGAAAAAGAGAAATTTGACAGCTGACTCGTCATATTAAAAACGTAGCCTCCCTCGCTCCCATCAGGCTGGGATCGAATCTGAGACCAAACCCTTCCACTCCGATTGTAAATGCTGGCATGGTTTTTTTACCCCCCCCCCTCTCCTCAAACTCTCCTCTGTTTTGACGAATATTGATCACGATCCGCTGGGTTGCCTGTGATGCAGCCCTGTGCCCAGAGAATGCACTGCTGCAAAATATTCAGGTCAGGTAACTGCGTGTGGTTTTTATGTATAGCAATATACGCCTCCTAGCTGGTATACAATTAGTTAACCGCAGCGCCACGGTGGCGAGATGTTAATTACCTCGCCTGGTATACAGGAGGTCGTGGGTTCGATGCCGACCCTGACGCCTGCTGTATATTTGGAGTTTGCATGTCTTTCTGCCTGTGGTTGCCTGGATTTTTCTCCGGGTCCTCCGGTTTCTCCCCCCACATTTAGAAACACGCGTTTAGAGTATTTGGCTGCTATGCATTTCCACGTGATAAGCCACTTTGTTGAGCTATCATATGTGAACAGGCCGCTTCTGAAAAAGAGCTATATAGTTAAGTGGGCTTTACTTCGTAAAATAAAATAAAGTTTAATTTTAACTCTACGTCCCATTTAGTGTTACCACCTACCCTAAGTTTCCCAGGAACGTTCCTTTTTTGAGGTAGTATCTGTCCTGGGGAATCAGTCGTCCTGTGTAAAAGAAAAGTCCCTGTTATTGTCATTTTGGCATCACAATATTAACGACACACTGTTTAAAACAATGCATTTACAAGTAGTTCTCCCTTCGTCTCATATGTCCTGGCTTTTTGTAGCTTAGAGATGGGAACCCTCCCTCCATAATGAAAAACAAAGTGCCTCCTTGCTCAAACAACACATTTTCTATACTCTTTGGTTTTTTCGGTAAAATCACGTAGATAAAAAATAAAATTAAAATACATTTATTTTTTATTTTATTTTTATTTATTTTTATTTTTTACCGACGTGACTTTACCGAAAAAACCAAAGAGTATGAACTCTTGCAGTCACGAAAACTTCAAATTTAGAACACATTTTCTCTGGACTAATTTCTCTTGGCAACCCTAAACCGGTTAGGGAAATGTCCACATTGTCAGAGCTGGGCCATCCTATTTCGATCATAACACTACCGTTGACTTCTCACACGAAGTCATACTTATTTTATCGACCCAGGAAGGAGGGATAATAATTGGCTGAATCGATCCTGATCGGGGAATTGAACTCTTGACTTTCCAACTGTGAGCAGAGCCGCCACTCAGTCTGCGTGACTATGGATATTTCTGTCCATTCAAGAGAATAAATAAGTTGCACAGAAATACATCGTGTAACAAAAAAAAACTTTGTGTGTCTCTTAAAAGTTCAGAATTGCCACAAAATTGCAAAAGTGAGCTCGTTCAAAGTAAAAATATTGCCTGCCTTGCCACAGATTGAAAAACAACTTATTTTAGATGCGATCGTGCCACTCGCCGAATGAGAAAGAACAAGAAACCCCAGATTCCCCCATCATCCTCACCTCTAAACATGCAAACATTGCAGAAATTTGCATCCGTACTAAGGGGAGTTGCTAGTTTCACGCTCGCGATCGAGAAATGTCAGCAAAACCGTGTCTTTGCCAAAAAGAATTAGCAATATTTGGGACAAAATTAATATATTGGTCGAATATGTTTTTGAATAATTAAGTAATTTGTTATTATACATGTACACGCATACAAATTATTACCACTCCTGACTGTTATAAAGTTTGGGTTTATATGGAAAATGTCAACAATTGTATTTAATAATAAAAAATGTCTCATTTTAGTTTTTTATTGGCAGTCTGCCATAAATTGCGTGATAAAAATAGGTGTAACTTTAGAGTGTGGTCATAAATAAATGTGTAACAGATGTTTTAATAAGGGACAATTACCACACCTATTTTCCCGTGTTAAACACATTGATTTCTAAGTATTGGATGGGGCATCAAAGCAAACTAATGGCAAGCGGCCAATCCCATGAGTTGGTGACCGCATGGGTTTTTTTTAGACAAATCGCAGCGCTCGATCGGAATGTACTCGATCAAATCTCAGTTTCCCCGTAACGTGACAACGATTGGCTGAAAAAGGATCACAGGGGAGGTGTGTGTGTGTGTGTGCAAACGTTGAAACAAAGAGGCTGGGAGCTCTGCTTTATTTTTGCTTCGAAGTGCGCAGGAAAGTTTGCGCGCGCAACCGGCCACTGAATTTTTGCACTTGTGAGTTGAATTACCCCGTTACCTTTGAGCGATTAAAAAAAATGTGGCGCTCGCCACTTTCCCAATGACACCATTCTCTGCAGGATATGCACACGTGTTGAGGCCCCATGTCAAAGGGCAGGGGTAGCTCTTGACTTGTTTCGCATTGAAAGTATTACCTTGCTGGTTTCCGGATTTAAGAAAGACATAAGGGGCGAGTGAGGTTTATCGCGATTGTTTTTTTGTTTCGTATCTTGGACGCGGGATGCGCTGAAGCTTGTACTAATCTGCTTCTCAGCGTCCTGGCTTACTGTTGTTACATTGGCTATCATTACCATCATCATTGTAGCGGAGGTATTGAGGATGGTGTACGTACAGAAGGGGAGCGGTGGTGCAGCGGTTAGCGCGCTGCACTAAGAACCCAGTGACCCGAGTTCGATTCCCTCTCGCGGCCAACACCAGTGACGATTATCTGAACCGGTCCTGGACCTCCCCTAGGTCGACTCGAGCTCAAATGAGTACCTGGTGCGGTGTGTAAATATCGCTACTGGGGAGACAAAGGCGGCCGGGCGTGGTGTTGGCCACCCACCCCCTCGTGTGCCGTGCCGGCCTTCATAGGTGCTCGCTAACAGCACTTGCCCCAACAGTCTGTTAAGGCTATATGGGGGAATCTTTGTCTTTGTACATAGAAAAGTTAAACAAATATTGGAATGTGTTTTATTTGATGGCAGCGGTTTCTTATCTGTAGAGGACCAACGCGTTGGGATGATGTTTTACCGTTACATCTTATTAAAGGTCTTCAAATTGAATTGAGGGACACACACACAGACACGGTACTTAATAATAGTGTTAAGGTGTTTGGAGTAATGCTTCAGTGTTACTTGTTTTGTTATTTTATCCCTTAAATGGAAGGTTAATAACGGAGGTTTTAGGTCTTTAGAGGTGGGTGAGATGCATCTTTGCATGCCCTAGTACAGATACAAGTTTGCATGAATATCTTTAGGTCATCGTTTGAGACGTGGTAAACCAACGTCTTTGCACCTCATATATGTAAATAGTGTAATCGTTATTTTGTTAAAGGAGGGGGGAGGGGGGTTCATAGTTCGGTTACGCCATGGTACTATTTAACGGGGACGGCTACATGGTGGACTGTATATAAGAGCATTTCGGTGTAAATGTAAATACGGTATTTTGAAAACCTACGGCATTTTATGGTACATTCAGATGTGACACTCGACCCAAGTGAACCAAAGTAGGTGGAAAAGAAAAAAAGATAGAATCTCTAAAAAAAGTTTTACAAAATTTAAACAAACCCAGTTTTGTGTTTTCAATATTGTAAACCGTATGTCTTATATACTGTGAATAAAATTTACACGTTATGCTATCTTGTGTGGCGTAATTCTTGAAGGAGATATGTGATTGTAACAGGGGGACTGAAACTAATTGTGGTTGGACACGATCTGCGTAGGTTTTCGCGGTTACAATGTGCCGCGGCTACTTGGGCACGATGTCCGACGTTTTGCTGCACGTGCTGGGAGCTTTTTCAGCCAAACTGAAATCGGCTTCTACAGATGTGTTTTTGTTGGCCGTCTGGAAAGCTCTTCCTTCAGATATTAGGAAGCCACTGGAGCTATGTACATTTTAATCTAGATTTAAAATAAATTTATTTCGAACTGCTTTTTTGTGTTTAGTTTGTTGTCCTTCCCTTGCACCTCCGATTAGCGCGGTTGGCTGCGAACGGTGCGAAGGTTCAACACACTGTACATACATGTGGATAATGCCATGTGCCCATCTTCAACAGGCCGTTCGTCTTATAATTGGAATAGATTGTAATGGTAAGTGTCCATTGGCCATGAATGCAACTGATTGTTTTGACCATACCTCAACCTTCTCACTTCACTTGACCTCGTGCTTGCGTGACTGAGCTGTGTTTAAATCTATTCATTAAAGCCCGGCGTTACGTTTATCTATCAACTAAATGGTAAGAGCCTTTCGGAAGGCCTGAATCAAAAAGTTACAGAAAGTGGGACCTCCACAAATGTGGGGGTAAAAAGTTGATCCAACAGGTTTCCAAAATCCAAAATAGAGTTTTTTGGGTTAGATCGCGTATAAATATATAAATGTGTCGTTAAAACCCGCCACCACCCGACACAGCCAACTAGTAAGGGTTGTCACGTAAACAGAACGTGCCAATTCGTCACTAGTACAGCACACCGGTATGTTGGAGAGCCAAGCCACAACATTTACCATCTGAGTACGACGTTTCGCCAGTAATTACAACGAGCTTCATCAGGCGACAGCCAGATTTCTGGAGAAATCTTACTGTTTCGTTCCTTATATAGATGTGTAGATGTGTTGACCACCCTTCTGCGCTCTTAGAATCTCTGCATCTTGTGAGGAACGCCAGTGAAGACAACAGTTTCGTCAGCTTAATTCGGAGTTTCTCCAGTTTTCGGGTTTGAAGAAAAGTATCGCCTGATGAAGCTAGTTGTAATTACTGGCGAAACGTCTTACTCAGTTTGTAAATGTTGTGGCTTGGCTCTCCAACACACCGGGTGTGCTGTACTAGTGACGAATTGGCCACGTTTTATTTACGTGACAACCCTTTCTAGTTGGCTGTCTCGAGTGGTGATGGGTTTTAACGACACATTTATATATTTACGCGATCTAAACATGGATGGTATTGGTCGCGAAAGCCTCCTACGTGTTAAACAGGTTTCCAATAATTGTCGAACCCCCCCCAAAAATGTCACTCCCCCTCCCAAAAAAATATTTTGCAGGTAGGGTGCCTACGCACCCTACATACAAAAGTCAGTAGTATCTGCACACCAAGGCCCCCCCCCCCCCCAATATATTGCTATAAAATATATTTCTGTTTATATGATTGTGGTTATGGTTGTACTTTATTAATCCCTAATATCTGCCATTACATACAATAAAACAAGAAAAGGTAAAAAAGAACAAAAACAGAGCAATGTAATACAATACACTATTAGACATTATTGGAAAAAATTAATAAAAAGTCCATCCTATGGGTTAGTGATTTTTTTAATATATTTTTTCTGGGTGGGGGGGACCTCCAGACCCCCTGAAAGATTTGCCCCCCCCCCAAAGTTGACTCCATGGCTACGGCCTTGCTGCACACCACCTTTGGGGGTGGAGGGAGAGGGAGGGGGGAGAAGAGAGGACATCAGTGGGGGCGACGGGGCGAGGCGCTAATCACCAAGAAGCCCTGAGCAGGAGGTGCGTTTTAATTTCACGAGCCCTGGGCGGAGGCGGTGGAGGCTTTCACGATGACGTCACCTGGGGTGAGTCGTTGAAGGCGCGGGAGGTCGCGGGTCTCGCAAGCGAGGACAGGTCTCGGGTCAACACACGGGCGTGTCGGGGGTGGCAGCGTGGAGAGTGCGCGCGATTTTAACCACCTCGCCGGGTACACAGGAGGTCGTGGCTTCGATCCCGATCCCGACCCTGACGCCTGCAGTACTTTCGGAGTTTGCATGCCCCTTCTCCCGGGTTTTTCCCTCCACATTTATCAACACGCGTTAAGAGTGGTTGGCTGCTATAAATGTCCACGTCATGAGCCACTTCGTTGAGCTGTCATTTGTGGCCAGGTCGCTTCTGCAAAAGAGCAACATAACTAAATGGGCCTTACCTGGTAAAATAAAAAAAAGTTTACAGTTTAAAAGTGTTATATAGTGTATGTTGAACTTTTTTCGCACCGTACGTAGCTAACCCTGCGTATCGGAGACGTGGGGGGGGGGGGGGGGTGCGAAGACAACAAACTAAACGCAAAAAGCAGTTCGAAAGAAATTAGCTTTTCAACCTAGACGATTTAACAGCGCACAGCTCCCAGTGGCTTCCCAATATCGCAAGGAAGAGCATTCCAGACGGCCGCAGAAGCGCATCTGAAAGCGCGTGACGTGGTGAACCGTCGTTTTCGTTCAAGGGAACGCTCCAAATGGCATCGCGCCGTGCGCCAGGCTCTCCGTGGTGAAGCTGCGATGGCGAGCAATTTCATTTGCCACGCGGCCGCCTCATACGAAGACAGCCAAAGTCCTTCTCCCTGCCGCACACACAGCCACCGGTGGGGGCTTTTGGACCACCTGGATCACCGCGAACTCTGCACCACCTCGCCGCCCCCCCCCCCTCTTTATAATAATAACTAGCAGACACCCACGGAACTTCAGTTGTTAAAGAACGGCGAATATGTACAGAGACTGAAGATTTCATAAACTGATGGTTTCATACAGAAACATAGATCACGTAGATATGCAGAAAAAAATTACAATCATGTATGAGTGTCTCTCAATTGCAATACATGTCATCGATAAAAGTATAAACAGGAACAAAAGAAAACAATCTTCCCAATTTTTCGCAGTGAAGACTGGGAGAGAGAGTGTTCGAGAGACAGCTTGGACGCCGCGATGGCGAGATGTTAACTACCTTGCCTCGTATACAGGAGGTCGTGCATGTGCTCCCCCATGGCCTTGTGGATTTTTCCCCGGGCCCTCCAGTTTTCCCCTCCCCATTTAGAAACGTGCGTTCGGAGTATTATTTGACGACTCTAAACGTCCACGCGATAAGCCACTTCGATGAACTACCGTTTGTGATAGCCAGGTCGCTTCCGAAAAATAACTATATACGGTAGCTCAGTCGGCCTTACCTGGTAATAAGTATAACCCGTAAAAACAAAGTTTTTCACTCTAAATCCTTTATATGCGTGGCGGCTAGAGTCCTCTCGTCCTCTGGCTTGAGATGGCTGCCACCTATGGGTCAGATGATTGTCTGCCAGTATTAAGTCATTGGTAATACAATATTTAATTTGTTTTCCCTAAACAGTGTAAAATTTAGGAAAAAAATTTCACGAACATTAATTGTCTCGCACAACGAGTCTGTGTGCAAAATGTCAGCTCGATTGGGTCACGGGAAGTGGGTTAAAAAACGACCGAAAGATTTGCACGGTCGTAAGCAAGCAAGCAAGCAAGCACGCACGCAAGCAAGCGAACTTAATATAAAGGATTTGAAAAAAAACACAAACAGTTTGTTTTCGTTCATATCGTCTATCGAGTCGCTCACCCCTCCGTGCAGGCGTTTGCCGCTCGGCGGTGCTAAGATGACGGACCCATCAGCGTGGCTCTGCGGCAGCAGCAGCGCATGGCCCACTTGGTCGCCGTCACTTGGGCCGGTGGCCTGGGCCGGTGGCCTGGGCCGGTGGTCTCGGCAGGTGGCCTTGGTCGGTGTTTGTCTAAACGAGACAACGGGGAGGGGGGGGATGGGGGGGGGGGTAGTGCTGCGGGAGACTGCAGCAAGAGCTTGCGGGGGCCGTACGAACAAACAGCCCCAATGAAACATTGATTTTTATATTATTTCGGTAAAGTCACGTAGATAGAAAAATAATAATGAAAAGAAAGTAAATAAAAATGGGAAAATATGAATTTTTAAAGAATAAATAAATAATCATAAATGTAGACTGTAGCCTGGAAAAAATTAAATAAAATATAAAGATTTTTTTTTTATATACAAGAGTGCGGAAGCCCCGTTGCCCCGTTGAGAGCGATCAGCATTGCTCTGTCGCCTCGTGTAATGCGTGCCCGCCGTACCATGAGGGCGCATGCAATAGAGGCTGTGCAATGATGTAGAGCTCTCATTTGGCATCGGTTCACAAACAGATTGGGTTGGTTTAAAGCCAAGAGAGGGAATTGTAATTATATACCAATCTGTTTTCCCCAAAGTTAATAATATTTTTATTTCACCCCGCGTGTGGACATGCGCATCCTTGACAGACGTTGTATGAATCTATCCCTCTAACGTATATTAGACCCCCGCTGTTGGACGCAATTTTCTCCTTCGAAACATGACATCACAATACAGGGTGTTTCAAAAAGATGGACCCGAATGTGGTTTATCTTCTTGCTTCTCTGAAACTGCTTTTACTTTCTCGCCTTGTCGTCCATCGCCACTCTCGCTCGAGTCTAAACTAGAGAACGTGTATGTGTCTAACATGGCTATAATCATATCTCAAGAATCTTCATACTCGAGGACCTTGGTCCCTAAGATCTCAGGTGGCTTCAGGACCGTATCGAGATGATAGAGCCTTCATAGGAACTGGGAAGTTCAAGATGGAAACCTTGACCTCCATTCACAAAGGGATAGGTTGTTTTTGTTGCGACTGGCCCAATTCAGCTTATCTAACGCGACGTTTCCACTTTAAATGGAGTTTAGACCTAAGCCAATGCTGGTGCATTCTGAGGATGGCCCAGCACGGCTCAACACTTCCTGTGGTTTTAGTTCCACGTCTCAGGCCCTCCCCCGCACTGTCCACGATCTAAGTTTAGAAATATCTTAGATATTTTTTTTTGTATACGCAGACTTGGGTTGCATC